TTGGTCAATTTGATTGGTAAGTAAATTTGATAAAAAATAATAAATCTGGTGAATATAAATGGTAAAGTATAAGTTGATATGAAGCAATAATAAATTCTATGTTAGTGAGATTAGGGCTGGGCATTCGGTATTTCGGTTCGGTTCGGTTTCGATTTTTTTTCTTTTCGGTTTTCGGTTCTTGTACAACGTGTACCGAATCGAAATAATTCAGTTCGGTTTGATTTTTTTATTTCGGTTCGATTTATATTATTTCGATTTATGTTATTTCGAAAAAATTATTTCACAATAAATTCACACACTAACTAGTAACAAAAGCAAAAATCAGAAAGAAAAATAAATGAAAGAAGAAATATTCATTTTGAAACTTGTTAACTTAAAATGGAAGAAGAAATACAATACCTATGGTGGTCAGCGGAAGTGGAAAGTGGTCGATGGTCGGCTCACGGCTGGCTGTGTGGAAACTAGAAAGGTCGGATGTTGTGTTGCGGCTGCCTGCTGGTTGACTGGCGGCTGCTGCGTGCTACTGTTGGTCACCGGTTGTCGGAACGCAGTCACTGCTGTTGTAGTCTGTAGACATGGGAACGTGGGAAGAGGGATGCCACTTTTGGCCTTTGGGAACTGTAAGTGTAAAGTGGAAATCAGGAAAAGTAATAAAAGTTTGAAAAGACAAACTTTTGATTTGACCTACTTTTGCTTTTTATTTTAAATTATATTTAATATTAATAATTAATATAATAGTAATATATATTATAATATAATATATTTCGATAAACCGAAATATCGAATAACACAAAAGTTACATACCGAAAACTGAACCGAAATACTGAAAAATACAAAAACGTATACTGAATACCGAATCGAAAACCGAAATACCAAAATAATTCAGTTCGGTTCGGTTTTTCGGTGTTTATGCCCACCCTTAAGTGAGATTTGAGAATAATCATTATATGAGATGTAAATAATTTAAAAAGTAATGATATGAATTATAAATTTTATTTACATATGAAATAATATGGTTAGTAGATATAAATGTAGAGTTGTTTTTACAAAATATAAATTTGTATTTGAAAATTTCCAAATCATGATTTTTGGAGAATATAGGATTTTATCATATGAAATCTTGAGATGAAATCGACGTGGAATCGCATGTCCAAACGATAATTTCATCTCATAATTTCATGTCGCATGTCCAAGCAGTCTACTTAATTTTGATTATGGGTGTGTTTGGTATGGAGGAAAACAAATGTTTTCCAATCAACTCATTTTTCTCAAATTTAAGAAAAATGACTTCTCTTCCAAAATTGAGGAAAACATTTTCCAAAACTCCACTTCATCCTTTAATTTTTTATCTTACCCTACACATACCCCGTACCTGACCCTCCCCATTCAAAATAATTTAAAATTTAAAATTTTCTTATTTTTTAAATTTCAAATATATAAATATATCCCTACCACCAACCCACCCCCTCAAACAAAAAATAAAAAAATAAAAAATTATTTTTGAAAAATGTTTTCAAATTTTAAGATTTTTTTTACCTCACCCAACCCTTACCAACCCTACTCCCTACCCCCCCCCCCCAAAAAAAAAAACCTACCACCAACCCACCCCCTCAAACAAAAAATAAAAAAATAAAAAATTATTTTTGAAAAATGTTTTCAAATTTTAAGATTTTTTTTACCTCACCCAACCCTTACCAACCCTACTCCCTACCCCCCCCCCCAAAAAAAATATATATTTTCTGAAAAATATTTTTCATTCACCAATCAAACAGATTATCCACTTGTTTTCTTAGAAAACATTTCCTTCATACCAAATACACCCTACATTTTTTGAATCTTTCATCTCACAAAGTGACAATTAATTTCTATATATTTTGTTCTCTCATACACCACTGAATTGACAGTGATTTGCATTGCAACTTTACTATCAATATGCATTAATTGACCTGAAAGATTGATTTGTACTCCAGTCTCTTTAAACAATCCTAATATCCAAGTCAAGTTTGCTATTGCAGAAGCAAGACTCCTATATTCAACTGAGCTTTAGTGAACGACCTGTCTTGACCAAAAAAATATGTTACACACCTTCTTGAGTTAGGACATGTTGCTCAGTCAACATCACAATAAGTTTTGATCTGTTCTTGATTTTTAGTTGATACTAGTATGTAGGGGTGGCAAATGAATGAGTTGAGTCAGATATGAATTGATAAAAAATAAGTAGGTGAAAATGGATAAAATATTCGACTTGATCCATATTTAACATGAATAAAAATGGATAAATTCAATGGATAATGTGTAATAATATTAATATTATCCATTGCTTCTAATTATGTAGAGAAATACGTACTTTCATTATAAGTTTTCTTAAGAAATTATTTTTCTCCTTTTATCGTGTGTTTGGTGAAGCAAAATATTTTCATGTTTTTCTAGAATATTATTTTTTTTTGAAAAATGAATGGTCCTGAGTCAACTTCGAGAGGTCGAAATTCGTATCTAGAATTGGAATCGGGAGTCGGGGTCGGAAGTTGGATTCTAAGTCAGTTGGTGAGGTTGATTTAAGTAAAGTTTTGAAAAATATTTTCCTAATTTAAGGAAAGTTATGATTTTTTTTTTCTTACTTTATGTATGGAAGAAGTCACTTTCTCTTAAATTAGAGGAGAATAAGTCCATTCAAAAAATATTTTTCAAAATATTCAAGCCAATCAAACAAGAAAAAATTGAAAAATATCAAAACATTTAATCCAATGAAACAAGAAAAAATTGAAAAATAAAATAAAAATATTTTTCTTCATACCAAATACACCTTAGTAAGTGTACTTTTTATTGGTTCCTACACACTTATATCTATCAAGGAGAGTGCAAATGATGGATACCTATATTTTATAATGGATGATATGAATTAATCATATTTAATCCACTTTTGAATGATTTGATAGCCAATATATTTGAAGTAGGTTAATCAAACAATAACCATAAATTTGACCAATTTTGCAACCCAGAAGCACGTCTTGCCTGGTGATTCTTGAGATGTCTGCCTTCCTCAAAGTCTCCTCGAGCTATAATTTTTGTATATTTTATTTTTTATTCTATATACAAACACTGTTTTAATATATGTAAGCAATTAAATTTAATAATTATTGACCCGGAATACATGTAAAATACACGTACACAGTTAGTATAACATAAGACCAAAAATGATTTTCTTCTTCCGCGTTGAGAATTATTTTTGTAAATTTATGTTAGAAACACAACTTCGTCATTTTTGATAAAATAGTTCTTTTACAATTGAACTGGTTCCCAGCATTTAAAAATATAAACAAAGTCTGCACAAATTGATTTGTATCTATCAGGACAAGGTCAATTCTCATTTTCTCCTTGAATACTTCGAGTTGAGCTACTCCATCCATCCGTTCCTTTTAAATTGTCATGTATACTTGCTCCAAAATAGTTGTCAAAGGCACATATATAGATAAAAATTTAAGAATTAATAAGGGGTATATTAGTCAAACGACATTTCTTATTAACTTTTTTCTCAAGAATCGTGTCAAAGCTTATCTTGACAACTAAAAAGAAACAGATGAAGGAGTAACTGCCAAGCCTAATCAAGCATTTTGAAGGACATACTTTACAGCATCCACGTAATGTTTTAACAAATCCTCCACAATCTTACAAAACATCTGCTGTAGTCCTTCAAAAACCTGCACCAAATCCTTTGACAACTCTGCTGATAAAATTCTCAAGTTTGCTATTACTTCTTCCGTGGTTATGAACATGGCAGACAAACCCTCTGCGAGTTTTTTCCTGAGAAGATCAAAGAGAGAAGATGCCGCATCACTCAATACTTGTAACAGAAGATTCAGCAGACATTTCAGACAGCCCTTGATGGCATCTCCTAAGGCATGCAATCCAGTTTGGATGACTTCGCCAGGAATTTTAAGTGCTTGAATCATCAGCACAAATGCACAGGCTGATGTACATAAAAATAAGTGAATGATGCAGCAGAAAAACGTACCTAACGTTGAGAATACGGTGTTCAAGAAGAGAAGCACCATTGAAACAGGAGGAAAGGATGAGAAAGCAAGAAATATATTAAACATATTGATAGATTTAAATAGTTAGGATAATAAGTTGGCTGAGCTCATGTGATTAGTTTATACGGTTTAATTATTGGAATAATACAGGAAGTAGTGGTCCGCACATTTTAGCAACACAAAGTCGTCAAGTAAGTTTAATTCCAAATGGAAGATCCTAACTAATTTATATGAGGTTTTTTGTTTAGAGATTGACCAAGTGAACCATTTATCAGCTATTAAGACTTAAAAAACTCATACCACCTACACTAGTGCATTTCTCAACTCTTAAGCCCAGAAGTTACCTTCCAGTTGCAATAGAATATTTATTTGCAATTAGCGACTTTTGTGTAACTAAGCAGTTCCCAACTTAATCCCTGTAACCTCTTTTATTCAGAGAACAGGGTTGACAGATATAAACACACCCTATATTATCCTCTCTTTTTTGACAAAGGTAACAAGTTTGTATATATCCTAAAATCCAAGTTGGAAATGAAAAGGAATAAAGCAAACACAACCGGCAACTCTTCGTCCCTCCAGCATCTCATTTACTCATTATAAAATGTGACAATTTTTCTGCTGGTTGCTAACCAACAGACACAGCTAGTTGTTAACTAGATCTCAGAAGAATGCAACTGACCTTTCATCAATGGCAGGAGCAGTCAACTGTCTTTAACTCTTAATTATTGAAGAGATGGATTGCATGAAGGATGGAGATCCCTCTGCAGGAGTTGACTGGTACGAGGGCCTTCCCAACAGCCAAGACGTTGACCTTCATGCATTCATCCTTCAGCAAACCCAGTGGGGATTACTGGGTGGTGCAGCCACAGGATTCACGTAACTTCTTTTGCCTGCAAACATTTTTGGCATAATCGTATAGAATCATATTGCTAATACAGAACAAAATGAAATGGTTTGGGCACTCATCAATTGACGAAATCATGAAACTGCTTTACACCATACATGATTTATTCACATAATATGGATGACGTTCTATACAACTCAAATTTACAAAGCATATCCTCTAACATCGCCTACCAGAGAACAAATCCTTTGGTATCAGATACCAGAAAGCTTCTATACAGTATATGTACATATATATGACAACATCAATAGAAAACATATCATGCCACTGCTAAGTTAGTTCTCTTTGAGCTTATACACAATCCTAACGTATTCTTCTGCATCCCAAAGGAAAGAACCAAAAGCAATAGCCTCCAAGACAATTCTCTTCAAACTTGCCAATGATGTCAAAATTACTTCATCACTCGCCACCAAACCTGTCTTTTTATCACCGAAGAGTGCATAGCTATGCTTCTCAATCAGATTCAGGGCCTCCTTGGACTTTGGTTTTGCCCACATCTGCAATGTTTCTGGGTCAAAACTCATCACATAATACTTCAGTTTGTCTTGCTTTTTTTCACGGAGAAGTGGTATTTGACCCACTGATGTAGATCGTGTCCCACCGATGCAACCAAAGGGAACAATCTCTGATCCTAAGGACCGAATTTCTGAAAGTAAGAGTTGGTTATAACTAGCAATATCAAGGTAAGGGTTGATATGATCAAGTTTCTTCTCCAAATGGTGCCTCAAGGAAGCCGACTTCAAAAAATATCCGTATAAAACAGAAGCAGCATATACTTGACAGAGCTTGAACTTTTGTACTTCAGTAGGGGTCCAATTGTCTGCCACATTTGACTTCTCTTTCCATCCTAGAACAGTAGTAAGATGTTCCCTAACCATTTCCAGTACTTCGCAGCTATGGATAGACTCGAGTTCCCAGTCCTTGCAAGGCCATATCTCAAGCCTGCCATTATACATGCATTTCGAAAGCCTGGGAATCAAGTGCACTCTGATTCCAGAAAACTTGTAAGATATTAGCATGTACATAATGTCTTCAACAGAAGCTTGACACTCCAGCTCTTTTACTTCAGCAATCCTCCTGGCATAACATCACATTCAAATCTCAGTAAATCCGACACGAGAGACTTAGATAGTCTATATCTAGATGAACAAGTATCAGGTAATCTAACAATGAGTCGTCCAAACAATTATTCCTACCATCATTGCACAGAAACCAACATTTACCTACTATTTTAGTATTTCGCTGATTGAATTAGGCACCAAAACAATGGCCATGTCTAGCTCCCACCAGTGGTTCCTTGTATAATATCAAAAATAGTTACATTCCTCAAAGAGCTGTTGCATAAGTAAAATAGAATAGGAAACCAAATTTTGAACAAAAACACTCTTCCATGTTATTTTAAAAGCTCTCCTGATTGGTTAATAGAAGTAAAGGAGGGCAAAGTCAATAAAAGATGGCCTCCAATCCGTGGCCACAACATTTTCACTTTCTCCCATGTTCCTCATGTTCATCTTCACGTCTCTTACATTCGTACTCAACTTACTACTGCAATTCTTAAAAAAACTTGGATCTTTGAAATTCTACAAATTAAACACTCGTAAATCATTAATGGAACAAGAACATGCTAATTGGACCAAAATACCAGAAGAACCCAGCTGAATTTGAAATAATAGAATCAAAAAAGAAGATAAATTCTTAATTAATTAAGTTCCATGATGACTATATTTGGATTGTTGTAGCATTACTGCAGCTTATTTTCAATGAGGATCTCATGCTGAAGATATCCTTTAAACTGGACTACATTCTCAAGAATGAGTTTTCTGTCATCCCACTACTACTTGCAATTGTAACTTGGACAACCAGATTAATGGAGAACAGAAAAAAGAAAATGAAGTCGATCAACTTAATTATATTAGATGATTTGGCGAGACTACAAGAAGCTTATGCTCCTACACCATCAGTTTTATTAAATGGCATGCTTGATATTCATGCAGTTGTGGTGAGCACAATAAATTTTAATTACTAAGTTTCTTATTTGGGATTTGTTGTTCCCTTGAGCACTAGAACTACAGAAGACTTAAATGAGTCACATACCAGATATTTGGATTTCAGTATCATCTTACTAATTTTTGAGGATTTGAGCTTCCTAATTATTTTAATAAACTTCAGATAGGCTTTAATATTTCTTTTCTGATGACTCCAGTTAAACTCAATCTGCTTTTATCTTCACGTTAATTGGATGTCATGCTTCTAGCAGAAGATTGATATTTGTTGTAGATGAGATCAATTGTGTCGCAATCTAAGTCCATGGCATGTATTTTCCACTTTAGGCCTAGGCCTGCATGGGTTTGTCATTCAGGCTACATCACATCAAATCCCAAAAGCCGGCATACCATGTGAACTTGAGTCATGCCTTATAAAGCTCTTTACTTTCCTCTCACATTCCAATGTGGGATTTATCTAAGAAGCCATGTCCACACTATCTTCAAAATCATTTCAGCCTAGAAGCCTGCTTAACCAACCTTCATCAGCCCCTTCCGTCAGGGGTGTCACATACACCGCCCCCACCCTCCTTTAGTGACTCAGGGTTCTCGCCGAGGTTTACCCCACCATCGTACAGAGGGAGTACTGACTCTAATACTATATTCTTCATGACCTAAGTTCATGAAACATATTGTCTGCTTTGGGCCTAGGCCTGCACAAATTTGTCTTTCAGGCTATGCCACATCGAGCCCAACAGATTTTCCTCTCTCATGTCTGAACCATCTTCAGAAGTTTGCTAGCCTAGAAGCCTTCCAGTCCTGCTTTACCCACCCTCAGGAGTTCAGAATGTTTTGCATTCTAAGACTTCAAAACCAGTCTGGGTTTTGCTCTGGTGGTATTCCAGTTCAATCAATAAGATCTTATCCCCTTATAATTTACGAGTTTCTAATTTATAGAATTTTAATACAAAAAGTTATGTTCTTCAGATTACCAAGTTGAGGACAAAAGAAAGAGATGTGATGTTGAACATGTGGGAAATGCGAGAAAATAAAAATCTTTTGGTCACAGACTGGTGTCTACCTTCTATTAACTTTGTCTTCCTTTACTTTTCATTGACTAGTTGGAAGCTTTCAAAATGTCATCAAAAGAGTGAATTTGTTCAATTTTTCTTTTACTGTCTCTACGTAAATGCATCACTGCATCTGTCTCTTCCAGCATCGCTCAAGTATCTATGCCTCCCAAAACATGTGATGCAGTTGGATAAAGGAACACACAAGCTTGTAGCAAAGATTTCCAGTTGAACCGCTCAAGAAATTATATCAATCGACAAACATATTTAGTGCATATGGAAAACAAAGAAATTATGAAGTATATCCAAATATTGATAAGTCTAGGCTGCAATATCTTCTAAACTTGGTATCTTTAGCTGAGGTTCTCGTACTGAAAGATGATATACATAGAGCTTTTTCAGCTCCCAAAACACCAGAGTTCAAATGTATTATTGCATGATAGATGTTCATTTCATAGGTTTATCTCAAGCTACAGGTTGTTGCAATAAAAAATGGACTTTAACATACTATACCCGTGCCAGATATCTCATTGATCAACTCATGTCATCATTGGGTAATCTCTATTTAAGTTTTAAAAAAATCATTCCTATGCAAGGCCAAGATATTTCTGGGGCTGCATAATCAATTGGCAAATTAATGTATCCTCAATTACAACTTTGCTAATGACAGCTACAAACTGGTCCATACCTATAAGAAAATTATCTGTAACAACAGATTGATTAACATTGAGGACAATGACTAACTGAAGGAAAACCTTCCCGTTATGTATTGCATTGCCAAAACAATGCAGTCTAAAGGTAATGTAGGTCGACGACACTAACAGAAACATGGATGTCTTTCTTCAATTGGGACAAAAAGAGCTTAATCAAGCCAAACAAAGAAACTCATATGCTATTATAACCTATAAGTTGACACAAAATAGATATAATTGAAAATTTCTATTGCACCTCATCCTGTTCTTTCTGATGGCAAGCATCAACACAAGATAACTACGCCAAGTATCTCAAAAACCATTTAGTGAATGAAGATAATGATGATAACATAACCTTCTTAAGATTTTTTAAGAGAGAAAGGAAAAGTGTAGAGATGTAAGAAAGGAATGTAAGCGATGTCTTTGAATAGGTGGAAGATGAAAGGCGAATTGAGCTGAATGAATTTTCTTTCACAAGTACAGCTGAACTATGGATTGAGAGAGAGAGAGAGAGAGAGAGAGACGAGAGAGATTAAATTGTTTTGTCAACCTCAAGTAAATATTTAAGTACATGTAAATATCTCCCAACTCTTTCACTAATTTAGTGTTAGTTGAGTTTTCATTTGAGCTAACTTTGCCTCCAGCATCTGTTGTCCAAGTCTATCAAATTAAATCCTCCTCTTAACATGTTAACACCCAATAAATCAAGGATTTGGTAAATAATCATCCCTATTACTCTCTAACATTAAACTCAGTAATCAAAAACAAAGAGCCAACACTTTATGTGAGACTCAGAAGTTTTATGTACCAAAGAAACAAAATCAACGACTGTACTACCTACTAAGATTTGTGTAAACAAGTTTATTTAAGTCCTTTTCTTTATTCGTGCTCTACAAATACAATTCTATCTCTAGATACAATCTTCAAGAGAAGAGAAGCAGGGGAATTTCCTCTGGTCTACAACAGAACTTTAGAAAGTTAGTTGAAAGCGCCTTTACTCTTTAATCTTTAAACTTGTTTATACAAACAGTGGATATTGAAGTAAAATAAAAAAAGAGCATGTCAGTCAAGAAAGCTAGAAAGACCAGAGTTCAAATGAAACATTTATTTTCATCAGTCTAAGCTTTGGTGGGCACATGAGGTTTAATCCTGGTCCCAAGCCCCAGTTAACCCCTTTTATTAATGACCGAGAATCCTGGTCCCAAGCCCCAGTTAACCCCTTTTTTTAATGAGTAATGACTGAGGTGTCTGGGCCAACTTTCACTCATCTCAACTAATTCCACGAGATACCTACCACTTCCCACCAACAATAGGTACCAGGTAACTATGTCCACCAAAACTAGGACACATGGAAAGAATCACTAGTGTCATTGTCTCCCATTAAATTTGAACCTGGGACCTCATGACTCTTAACCACTTCATTTACCATTAGGTTACCCTTTGGGTGCCGGAGTCCCCCATAACTATCAGCATAAAGATATAATTCCCCGTTAAGTAGGTCATTGACCACTAGGTTACCCGAAGCCCCATTAACTATCAGCACAAAGATATATTATCATGAATCATGCAAGTATAAGGGGATTCGTACAGTTTACGTTGTTCTTGCAGTAGGGATAATTAAAGACAATAAAGCCAAATATGTGATAAAGGATAAAACCAAGCACGCACAACTTATAAGTATTGAAAAAGAAAAATCACAGTGAAAGGCAAAGCAGGTACCTGTGCAGAAAAGCTTCATCAGAGCCCAAGCTCAGATTCATCCGAGCCACAGCTTCATCCCGTTCATAAGCCAACTTCTCCAACTGTTTCTGAACAGCAACGTGGAAATACTTACGATCATTCAGAAGCACAGTGCTCAACAACCTCCCAGCCGGCGTTGCTGGTTCTAACGGCGCGTTCAAGCCACTAAATTCACACTTACTACTACTACTACCACTAGCCACTACAAACAAGGATCTCCTACAACCAACAGAAGTGCCGAAGGAGGAATTGTTGAAAGCAAAACAAGTTGATGATGATAGGCAAGGCTTCACCGTAAGAGGTAAAGATTGGTGAAGAGAAATTTTAGTGTAGGAGAGGCCACAGTCCATTCAACAAGCAATTGGCTAGAAACCCTTTTCAGAAATTAGGGAACAGAAAGAGAGAGAGAGAGAGAGGGAGGGTGGTTATGTATGATGGTGAAGAGGTTGATTGATTGATTGATAGATAAGTGGGAGAGATGGAGGAAAAAGACAAACAAAGTGGAAGAGAGGATAAGGATCGTGACTTATCCACTAAACTGATGATAAAAGGAAAAAGCGTTTGTACTATTGAACCCTCCTTTGGGGTTCTCCCTCCCTCCATTTTCTCAAGTTCAATTCACATCTATTTTCTATTTATATTTGGGCATCTTACATAAATCTTACTATTTTAATCTCAATTACTAAGATTTTTGATAATTTGTAATATTATTTTTTATATCATATTTTGGTCTCGAGATACATGTATCATTGATGGCGGAATACATGTTTCCAACCATTTTTAAAGTTGAGATACACAATTTATTAATTTGAATTAAAGGGGTTGTAACTTATTTCCTTAATTAAAAAATTAATTGTTGACTAATTAACAACTCAATAAATTTATAGGATCTTGAGTATCATCTCTAACAAATATTCCTAAAATAACGAAATCATAAGCCTAATCAATTTTGTTATTGTACTCTCCATCTTCTTCATCGGCTTGAATCATTAATGGCGACATACATGTATCCAACAGTTTTTAAAGTTGAGATATACGATTTATTAATTTGAATTAACATCTTCATCTTCTTCATCAGCTTAAATCATTAATGACGAGATACACGATTTATTAATTTGGATTAACCTCTTCATCAGCTTGAATCATTAATGACAAAATACATGTATCCAAGCCGAGATACACGATTTATTAATTTGGATTAACCTCTTCATCTTCTTCACTGGCTTTAATCATTAACGGTGAGATACATGTATCCATCAATTTTTAAAGGCGAGATGCATATCTAATGGTGTATTTGTTATGTTAAGTAAAGCTTGGCGTAATTCTTCCCTTTTGATTGAGTAGTTCCTATACTTAGATCTATTCTCGGCTTGAATGTTAACGGATGAAGAATCATTCCCTACAATGAGAAACTCATGAGTGAAAATAATAAATAAAAGTTGTTTGATTTAGTATAATATTGTTAATGTGTAGTACATTTAACAAGAATAATCTGATTTTGAGAAGCCATTAAAGTATTTGAGAAACAACAAAATCAAAAAATATAAAACCTAATTTGTAAAACTTTTTAAAATTGAACATCATAATATTATGAACTTTAAGTCAGATACAACACCAAGATACATGAGAATAATAAAATTATAGAAACAAACCTATATGTATAATGTTGATTTGAACATGCAAATATGTATTGAGAGGATGAAGGAAGAAAGAGGGAGAAGATGAAGGAAGAAAGAGGGTTGGTGGACGTGTGGGTGGGGAACGGCAGATGTGAGATGTGATTTATGTGAATAAATTTGAGTTGTTAATGTGGACCATTAATTAAGGAGTTTAAATTTAAGATAATTATCCAATATCATATTTAAGGAATTTGTGTATCTAACTAAATCTTTTTAAATATATGGTATAAATATTAAGGATCTATTTGAAAAGCCACCTGGTAATTGGAATTGGTGTAATTACTAGGGTAGTAATTATCAGCCTAGTAATTACACAGTCTAGTAATTACATTAACCTGTTTGGTTGCCACAGTGTAATTACAGTGTAATTCCCTTTGTCATGTTTGGTTGGACGAATGTAATTACACAATTAAATTTTAAAATAGATCAGATTTTGAATAAATAATATTACTATGTATAACAGATTGTTAGAATCGATTTTCTAATTTATTATCATTATTATTATCAGAAATTAAAGAAAAAAAGTTAATTCTCATATTTATTTTAATCTCAAAAACTAACATGAGAAAATACAAAGATAAAATTCATACATAATCTACCTAGACATCAAAATATGAAAGTAAAATGAATCAAGAAAGAAATCTTACTTGAAAGAAGAAGTACATGGTTTGTTGTTGTGCCGTTCTTAGAAATGAAAATGTGCAGACAAAAAAGGAAGAAGTGTCTTGGTATTCCAAACAAAAATATATTAAAAAAATATATATTAAAAAAATCATGTAATTACATGGTGTAACTACACTCAATTCCTTACCCTCCCTTGGGAATTGAGGAGTATAATTACTCCCCTTCAATTATACCCAATTCCCCTCTTACCAAGTAATTACTTGGTTTACCAAACAGGACAAAGAGAATAATTACATAATTACACCAATTACACCCATTCTCAATTCCATTGTGGCCTTTCAAACAGGCCCTAAAAGTGGTAGTATATGTAATTATTTTAAACTAGAGGTAAATATAGTATATATGGTAGTGATGTATGTGTAGTTATGTAGTTTTTCCTTTTGATTACCAGTTAGGGGAGCCCATGTTATTTTTTTTATCTTAATTTAAATAAATATTTTTATATCCTTTAAATTTTAAGTTGTTAATTATTATAATTTATAGTACTTTATGTAATTTTCAGCAATATATGTTATTCGTTTTGTCTCAATTTATGTGACATTGATGGAATTTCAAAAGCCAGACAAATTTTTTATATGTCAGTAATTTAATTATTTTGAGTTATAGTACTTTTTACGTCATTTTCAAATAATATATGTTACTTTTCTATCCCAATCTGTGTTATTGTTAATTATTGTAATTTATAGTAATTTTCATGTTATATCAAATAATGTATGTTATTTCTTTTATACCAATTAATGTGTCACTGATAGATTTTAAGCTTCCCCCAAATTTTTTTAGATGTCTTTATAATATTTTAGGTTCTATTACCTCTTTATGATTTTTGAAGATCCATTAATATACTTTCTTCACAATTATTAGTGTTTTGATGGTTTAGCAACATACCCTTAAAAAAAAAACAGACGAAAGTTTCCTCTTATTGCTCATTATGCGTATTACTAAGTAAAAAGTACTCTAATTAATTCTATTAAAGATTCACTAATTGAGTGCTGGGAGAAATTAATGTGAAAGAAAAGTACTGAAAGAAAGATGCTCCAAATTAACGTGTTTGCTGCCTGCAACACCACGTGTAGTAGAAAGATAAAATTGCAAGTGGATCAAATGACAGAAAGACCTGCCAATTCAAATTGCATATGGAAGAAGCTGGGGCTTTCCTATCGTTTGTTGCCAATGGGAAGCTCCTCACATTCCCTTTTCATGTTTTTTTGTCAGCGTTTCAAAGTTATTCTCTTATTTCAGAAACAAATCATGTAAATTTCATTTGTAGTCATTGAATGTTAATTTCAAGTAAATACTATAGAGGTTTGACTCTAAAAAAGAAAATCATGACAATTAAAAGTGGACGGAGAGAGTAGTAAATATCAGTCACCAAAGCAGCCATATGGTAATAAGAAATCAAAAGAAATACAACTAAGTTAAACTTAAATGGGACCTATATTTTCAGAAAGTTGTAGGAAGTATTTGTATTTTAAAGGAGAAATTAGTCCAATAGATACAAAAAGTTGAAATGCGGCCACACTACTCCTTTAACTAACCAATTAAATTACTTCTTTCATGTGAAGTTACAAAAATAACCTCTTAGGACTTTTCCGTCAGTTCCCATAAACGGGAAGCTCCTCATATTCACTATTATTAATAGTAGTAAAATAAATAAATAAAAAATGTATAATTTTGAATTTAAAATTTAAATAAAAAAATAATTGGCCAATTTTGCAATCGATAAATCAAATTGAAAAAAAAGTTATTAGGTTATCGATAAGGGTTATTAAGGTTAATGATTTTTAAACGATTTTGTAAATTTTTTTGTTGGGTTATTAGTTCGGGTTCGATTATATGATTATAGTTAAATTGATAACCCAATAAGAGTACATCCAAATTACTATTTTACTCCTTATTATATAATAGTGCCTCTCTTTTGTGATACATTCTCTCTTCTCGACACGAACAAGTATTACTTTGTCTTTCTTACTATTAGATTTGATTGTGATAAAAATATACCATTAATGTTGCATTTACAATTTATTGCACGAGTCTTTAGAAGGAACTCATACATTTTCTTCGTAAGCAAAATATATCAATGTAAAAATTTGTCTTACACTGCTATTATTGCTATTAATATTATTTTATGAACATCGTGTAATATAATCATATCGACATTTTTTCATTGGTTAAATCGACAATCGAACCATTAAAGGCCAAAATTGATTAATTGAAAATCAATAAAAAGTATCGTATTGATTTGGTTATCGATTTAGTGTGTTAACAAATCAAAAATTTATAAATCAAACTCAGAATACATCAAATTGAATTGAACAGACAGATGCACACCCCTAGCGCTATGCAACTATAATAAACTTCTCTAAATTTCAAGGCACACTATTACTAGGTAATTGTGTTATATAAATTCCTTTGAATATATATATATA